TGCCTGCTCCGATTCTGGGTGCACTCCCGGGACATATGCCCCCACTGCCGGCAGGTATGGCATTGTATGTTGGCCCTGCCATTGTAGCGTGATGGCGGTGGGGGGTTTCCTGATGGTGGCCGGAATGGAGTAGCGTTGGCGGGTGTGGAGATGGTTGGGTGGTGTGGTACAGCTGGTCTCAGGGGAGCCCTGTTGGGAAGCCCATGATGCCTTCGGGCGTCAAAATGCTGATCCGCCAACCGGGCGGCTTCGGTTAGGGTGAGGGGTTTCCTGTCCCTTACCCATTCTTGTGCCTCAGGTGACAGTCCGTTAAAAAATTGCTCCAGCAAGATGAGCTGGCGCAGTTCCTCCATTGTGGTAGCTTGGCTCGCCTGAATCCATCCTTGCGACGCTTGGTCGAGCTTATGTGCCCACTCAGCGTGGGAATCTTTCTCGGGCTTCCTCAATCCCGAAATTTACGCCGGTACGCCTCCGGGGTTATGGCATACCTCTCCAGAATTGCCCTCTTAACTTTAAAATAGTCCTTGCTATCTTCTCTGGGCACAGCGCGATACGCCTCGGCTGCTCGTCCTGCCAACTTGCCTGCCAGTAGGGGTACCCACATAGCCTGTTCTAGATCATGTAGGTCGCACAACCGCTCAAAATCCTGCAGGTATCCGTCAATCTCGTCTTTCTCCTCGCAGAATGCTTTAAATGCCTGGTAAGGTATTTTCTGCTTCACTGGAGCGCAGAATGAATTGGCGATGGATTCTGCCCTGGATGGTGACCTCTGGTGTTGCTGTGCCATAATATAATCCTGGACGTCCGCCATCAGTATAGTTAAGATGTCCAGGGTTACTGGCTGTGGTACAAATTCCAGCCGGGTTCTCAGTTCCCTCTGGTACGGTGTTTCCTCTCTGGCAGGTGGGGGTGGACTGCTGTGTGCTTGGTCGCCCTCCATTAGCTCTGCAATCAGGACTGCTTTCGATTTATTGCTAGCGCTTTTCCCTCTAGCCTCCAGCAGCTCCTTTAGCGTCTGTCTCTTTAACGCCGTGTAATCAGTCCCCATTCACTGATCGCTTTCGTCTGCTTGTTTCATACGAATTGCCTTTCCGTTCGGTTGTTCCTTTCATTCGAATGCGCTGTATTCGGCTGTAGAGTTGGATCCCGTCGCTTGCCACCAATTGTAGCGGAACGCCAATATAAAATCCACGAATTCCGCTGGTCCAGAACGAATCCACAGTCAAGCGCTGAAAACACCAAGGCAATATCCCCAACCTCCCAATAACCGGACGAGACACAGTTTTGGGAGTCAACTGCCAATCCTTTATTCAGCACGACAATTTATACAAGTCCCCATGCAAGGGGTCTCCTGAGTCCCTTCCCAGGGGCATTCCCAGAGGGGACTACATGGGGGACTTACAGTATAACATATTTCTCCCATCAGGCACCGCTGCACGAGAGGGATCATCCTCCCAGAATGCACCGTTAAGGGGATTATCCCCTCGTGCAGCAGAACCGGCAATTCATATAAAAATACATAACTTTTAAAATACACGGTGGATTTACACGAATGGATGTTCGGTAGATAGCTGGGGTCTGGGCGCATCATTCGTGAGATTGCTGCTCAGATCCCAGCCAAATTAACCGAACGCCGCACAGAAAACACATTTCTTGCAAAACCCACAAAAGGAACCGATTGCTTTGGGTGAACTTGGTCCTGAAACTCCCGAACGTCTGGGAGGCTCAGCGGTGTTCGTGCCGTCGAATAACTATTGGTAGTAGTATGCGTTCGACGACACGAACCCGCTGACGAACAAGGGATCCAAGATGGCCGACCGCCGCATGGTCGGTAGTCGAACGACGGCCACCCAGGAGAGCCTCTAATAACCGATTGCAACAATGTTGCAATCGGTTAACTAGCGCCACACGCCTCTAAGTGTGTGGGCTATTAGGGGGTATCGCGTTCGGTTCACGAACGGCTTTCTAAAGTGCCGTTCGTGAAACGAAAGAAAATCCCCATACAAAACCGCCAATTGCATTCGGCGGAAACAGTATTACAGGCAACACGGAAAATACCTTAACATCTACATATGGGTACAGCGCATATCTCGCCCGACCTAGTGGCAACCCTTAAAGGCACAGTCTCTGGTTATTGTCCAAGTGGCTAGGTTTGCCACACAACTGTTTTAAAAAAAATATATATAATACAGGTCCCCACTTATGCTTATTTACAGACAAGAGTTATTAATTTATAATTAATCTGTCAACATTTTCATATTTAGATATTTAAAGTGACACCCAAAAATGTATTTATTTGTTATTTTGACACCTGTTCTAAAAAAAGGATATTATGGCAATAAAAATGCAGACTACAAAATTAAAAAGGGGAATGGAAGATTTTAGTTATGAAGAAAGGCTAACACATTTAAATCTGTTCAGTTTAGAAAAACAGCTGCCCAGAGGGGATATATTTGAGGCAAATCCAAATGCTAATCTGGTTATACTTGGATTGGAGGCATATCTTTGGCCTGTTAATGCTTTTTTGAGATTTTGAATCTTAATTATGTTTTTGTCTCTCTTAGGTTCCTGTAGGTACGGTTCATCCCAGGTGGTTTCTCCAAGAAAGCTGCTATATCATTTTAAATCTTTTTTTTTTTTTTTTTTAATTCTTTATTTTTGCATGACAAGAACAGTGACATGGAAAATGCATTTTGGCTTGCGCAGAAGCCCCTATACAACCGTGTAAGCTAAGCTCTTTTCCCCCCATGGTAGTACCCAGAGGTGGGGTTGCTCCGAAGCGATATGTCACCGCCCGTCACTGTTTTTACCATATATATAAGCCTAGTTTTTATATCCACTGTTATGTGTGCCCTCTCATCCATCCTTCGCACCGCTAGTGTAGCATTTTAAATCTTATTGTCACAGTACAAGGCTGGAAGAGGGACCTGACTTAGAATGACTGAACTGCTGATTTTTGTACATACCACACAGAAGGGCTAAATAGATACAGTATCATCATAAAAATGAAACAATGGAAAAATAAGGCTGTGCGGTGTTCAAAGTCAGAAAACAGATGTTGAAGATGAACATATGAACACATGCAAAACAAGTGGAAAAAAAACCTTAACAAAAAGCTATCAGAATGCCATTAAACATATATGTCTCTAGGGCAGCTTTTGTGGGCTAAATATTAAACTTTTATAGGCTAAAGAGAGACTCTTTATCTCTGAATCTCAACAGGTAGTGTAGGAGGCAGGAGGATACTAGTAATTGTTATAAAATGTTACGCTAGGCAACCGCTTCTCCAAGTATAGTGCTCCGCAAGACTACTTAGGCAGAAGGGGTGGTGCCACTCCCCTCAGTTAGGAAGACAGTCAGGACTGCATTGATTGGCTGTGCAGAATGTGAATGCTTCAGTAAGATCTTGGCGATCCCCAGCAGAACTCTGGTCCTGGATTGAAAGGGGAACACTGAAATTAGAATACCCACACCTCTCAGTTAGTGAAGGGGTCATTGAGATGTCTTTTCAGCTAAAAACCCTGTTGTTTTTGGAACCTAGTAACATCCTTTTAATTAGACATACCTGTAATTGAGTGCTGAGACAGAATCCTCACTGCAGCCCGATCATCTTACTGTGAAATCAGCAAGATTAATGTCTTATGTTCAGTCAAATGTATGGCGCATCTGCGATCTACCAATCCAATGCTTCCCTATGAGGAGAAAATAACAACAAGGTACCACTAGGGAACCAAATGACCATGCCGAAGAGGATCCAAGTGGGGGTAACCCACAACAATTCATATAGATTTCAAAATAGACAAATAGGCCTAAAGAGGGCATATGAGTCCAACGATGCAGATCCCTCCAATAGATACGGTTATGGTAGAGAAACTTTAGTAGAATAATGCAACAATTAGAAAAAATATAGACAATACATATGTACATTAAAAATCCACGAGGCTGTTGTGCATGATGGGGGTTAAACATTGTGGGTTTAGATTTAAGAAAGTACATATAAACCAACCTTTTCACATAAGGAGCAATTTACCAGGGTCATAGACAGGGATAACCCTGGATGCCGCAAAGAGCCATACAAAAGGTCTCACAAAAATAGTCCCTATAGATGTATTTAGATAATATGCCCCCAAAGTTGTTTAAAATAAATCCTGTCTGATATAAGACTACATGTACAAAAATAGATTTATAGGCATAATGCTAAAAGACCCCTTAAATAATCTGCTACAACAATATTTGATTAACAAATACTCCAGATATACGGATAAGTAAGAGGGACTAAAAAATTGTTTAGTTGGTCTGCCCCAGCAAGATGCATTCACCCTTTCTCTCAGTAACAGGGTGATTATTAATAGGGATGACCCTCCAACCTCCATTAATTTGTACCAAGGAGTTATCCCCATCAGAAACCAATCTAGTGAATCAAAAAGTGCTCTGTGGCAAACCTAGCCACTTGGACATTATAATAAAGACTATAGCTTTAAGGGTTGCCTGTGCTGTTTTGAGGATGCATGTGGTTCTGTGTGTATAGACTGTGATTGCCTAACATTGTAATACTTGCATTGGCTATCTGCTGAAAGCAGATAGCTGATTTCCTTTCGTTTCACGAACAGCGCCTTTGCGGGCTGTTCGTGAACCGAATAAGACCCACACGTATAGCCCATACATTGAGAGACGTGTGGCGCTCGTTAACCGATTGCAACAATGTTGCAATCGGTAATTAGAGGCTCTCCTAGGTGGCCGGCGTTCGACTACCAACCAGCCATCTTGGATCCTTTGTTCCTCCAGCGGTGTTTGGTCGTCGAGCGCGTGGTACTAAAAACGGCTACTCGACGGCGCGAACACCGCTGGACTTCCAGGCCGTTCGAGAGTTCTGGGCCGTTCGGTATTTTATTCCCCATATATCAATCGGTCTTTTAAATGTATGTTTTGGTGAATATGTTTTTCGTGCGGCGTTCGGTTGTTTTAGTTGGGATCTGAGCAGTAATTTCACGAATGATGCGCTCAGACCCCAGCTATCGAACGTCCATTCGTGCAAATAGACCTAATATTCGAAAAGTTGTATATTTCAATATAAATTGCCGGTTCTGCTGAAAGGGATAATCCACTTAACGGTACATTCCAGTAGGAGGATCCCTCTCGTGCAGCAGTGCCTGATGGGAGAAATGCTCTGTACTGTAAGCTCCCCACGTAGTCCACCCCTGGAATACCCCTGGGATAGGACTCAGGAAACCCCTTGCATGGGGAATTGTATAAATTGTGGAGCCTGTGAATAAAGCCTTCAGTTGACTCTCAGAACTGTGTTTCGTCCGGTTACTGTGAGATTTGGGATATTGCTTTGCTTTTCAGCACTTGACTGTGGATTACCTTCTGAACCAGCGGAGATCGTGGGATTTAATATTGCCGCTCCGCTACATGCTCAGATCATAAGTGAAATAAATGTAAAGCAAAAGAGCCCGATGAGCCTTTCGGCACCAAAATTGTGCCTTCGTCTGGGGCATACCTTCTCAAACCAAATCCTTAGTGTTTAACCCCATCATGCACCACAGCCTCATAGCTTTTTAAATTGCATATCAATTTTTTTCCAATTGTTGCATATTCATATAAAGTTCTATATCTATTTGTCTATTTTGTTCCCGATGAGGAGCATTGAACCTACTGCTTCTCATAAACAAGCATTGTACACACACTTAGGGTTCGTACGTAAATTAGATTCAAGTATTGAATCTATTTCAACAAGAAGACCTTAGTGTTCTCCCTTAGTGTTTCTCATCTGCAAAGATGGCAGGGGCTACATTTAGGCACTAACATCACTTCATTAAAATTAGGTGAGTTTGGTGCTTACCTTTTCCCTTTAAAGATGTATTAATGCTGAATGCTAGGACAAGGTATAAGACTTCCACAGTTCCCACAACACGCGACATGGAGCACATCATTTTTTGGCAAAGGTCTAAAAGAGCATAGATCAGTTCGTCAATATATAAACTATCGCTATACTGCTAAAGGAGGGAGTACCATCATTAATCATACTGATGCTGACTTAATTTTGATTTGTGCACTTCTCTTACGTTTTATGAACAAATACAGAAGTCATTACTGTATATTTTTGTATAATAAGTGCATCTTATTTGTGAAAATATTTATTGAAGAAAAGTATAACCCAGGTTAATGTTTTGCAAGTTGTATGGCTGGGCCAGTGACATCTGCAAAGGTCTTAACCTGAATCAATTATTTAGTGTCTTGTTACCAGTTTGCACAAAAAACATGCATGTATTGTGAATTTTGTCAAAAAACAGGCAAAAGAAAAAAAATCTATCAAAGTTTTAACAACATTTTTCTGCAAATGAAAGCCTTCAGCTGGAGTATTGATTGCTTGTTAGTTCCAAGTAAAATATACGCAGTCCAAATTTCACTGGATCCTCCTTATTTCTACCGGACTTCATTGATCCAACAAATCCATTGTTTTTGAAAACAACTTCATATCTACTGTTAGAAATAACTGGACAAACTAATCACTCACATCATAAGCGTTTGATAAAAAATTCTAAACAGCTTCAAGAAGGCCGAATACATAATAAAATTAAAGAAATCTCATGGCCACATCACTGAATCCACATGTATTACATGCAAAGAGCCTCATAGGTGTGAAAACTACTTCCATACAAAAAGATCCCTTTCTTATAATTGTTTGTTGTAGTGGCATATCACATTCACAATAAATTAATATCTTCATTCACCCATTGAATTTGAAATCCTTCATTTACTTAAATACAATATATGCCTATATTCTGGATAGTTATATATCCCCGTGTAGCATCAAATATTGTGCTGCTAATGACTAGCTAATTAATCTTATGTTTGCATCTTCAATGAAAAAAAAAGTTAGATAAACGTGATGATTAAATGTATATTTATAAGGTAGACATGTAAAAATCCATTTGTAAAGTGATTTGTTTGAATAAAATTCCTGGTATTCGACACCGGACTGAATAGATTCTGAACTGATCTCACCTGCACAGGCAGAACGATTCGGAATCGAAACTGATTTGTTTGATCAAAATGCTTTCAACAAATATTTGTCTATTCAAAGTTAATAAAATAGAAATTTACTTCTAATGCCATCCAAACAATCTGGCTAGTAAATGTTACTAATAAATTCTCTTATAGGAACCTTTTGATATCTTGGCAAACTCCACCTAGCACAGAAAGGTGATGTTTTTCTGTAATCATGCTTGGCAAGACAGACCAAAACATTTTAAATTTTATATTTCTTTTAACAGAGAGGGGATTTAGATGGCATAGTTGAGATAGTGATTTCTTTACAGGAAATATCTTTCTGTAGAAAGATTGATGGATACATGGAATAGCATCCCAGCCGATTTTGTATAGACCAATACAGTGGAAGAAACGGATACATTGCTACCCTGAACAGAATCACCTACCAGAAAACTATACACTGACCAACCGCAACATTAAAATCACTGACAGGTGAATGTAATAACATTGATTATATCATTACAATACAATGGCTCCTGTTAAGGGGTGTGATATATTAGGCAGCAAGGGAACAGTCAGTTCTTGAATTTTATCACATGACAGGAGGCTTCCTATTTTGCATAACTCTCTTTACTAAACTCCATAGCAGTAAAGAAAGTGAAACATTTAAACCAATCAAAATGCAAATAGGGAGTATATCATCCCAGCAAATAGGCTCCTCCTCCTCTTTCTTTACTGCTCCATCGCAGACAGGTCAGAGTTTTTGGCTCTTCCCTATTTACCTCATAATATAGTTTTTCTGTACATTAATAATTGTCTCTTTTGTCTATTTACTTTGTTTACTTTATTTCTTCTTACTATCTTTCCTTGATATCTCTGTATTTTAAACTTTCCCTTACTGGGACTCTTTATTTTGTTCCCCTAGTCCCAGTGGCTTACTCCGTTTTCCCGCTCTTTTTCCCGCTCGTTTTCCCGCTCGTTTCCCGCCCTCGGGCGGTCCCCCGAGTTTAGGCAGGTTCCCTGTCTTTGCCCCTGCTTGCCGCCCTTGCCGGCTTCCTCTCACTCATTTCCCGCGGCGGCCATCTCTTAAAACCGCATCTCGCGAGATTACGGACGCCATCTTGAAAGTGCCGCGAGTGCCGCCAGTACCGCAAGGGACACACACGGACGGACTTTCTAACCGCAAAATACTCCACAGAGGTCAGTTAAAGTGAATGTTGTGTAAAGCACATAAGGTATTAACCTGTGCTTACTTGGGGTGCTGCCCTTAACTGTGCTGCTATAGAGGTCGCTTTGTGGCCATCTCTACAACCCTGGGTGAGGCCCAGAACAAAAATCCCAACTAGTGGTGTTGTATTCTGCCCTGCTGGGGCCATATATATATTATTATTTTGCCACCATTGGCACTATATACCCTGCTTACCACTACATACCCTGCTGGGGTATCACATATATATTTACAACCCTGCTGGGGTTATTTGGTTTTTTCTCCTCAAACCAATTTCATTCCTTGTATAAGCCCTGCTGGGGTAATTTTGTACTCTGTACAACAAAACACGTTATTGCACCCTGCTGGGGTCCGCATAACAATATAAAACAGCTTAGTACTGTCTACACAGCTTACTGACCTCTATAATACGCCTTGTGCCAACACATATTCAGGCATTATGGAGACCTCTCAGACTACAGAGCTCCAAACCATGGTAAATGAGGCTGTATCCGCCTCCATGGAGAAAGTTCTCTCCAAAATGATGGCCTCTAATCCCGACAGGAAGAAACCATCAAAAACCCACACAGCCCGCCATGACTCAGATTCTGACGAACCAGAATCACGCAAGAGCCCAGAAACCTTCACGGGCAAACGCCATTGGAAAGGCGAAAAGGGTCACCAAAACCCTAACAAAGGCAAAGATCCCGCTAAACGCACTAAACCCGCTATAGCCGCCACCCCGAACCCGCCACACGAGTACTCTTCGGAAGAAGAAGACTCTCACACCAAATCCATGGCCATCTTAGACGAATGGCAAGCGGACGAGTCAGATTCCAACGAAGACGTTTGGGGCTCAGATTCAGGATCCCAATCCTTCTTTCCACAACAAACGTTCACGGGAGAACCCCAAGAACCAGACACGGAAACCCCGCAGGAAGAGGAAGACACCATTTTCGACCCGTTGGGGCAAAAACTTTTTGATCCACGAAAAATAAGACACCCACGCTCAAGCGACTGGACACCACCCGACCACTTAGCGAGGTTCATGCACCTCTGGTTACGGAAGTCCATGGACAAGACAGTCCGCAACCGCTTGAGGTCGGAATGCCCACGACCTTTTCTACCTGACCATGTTGCGGACACTCCAGAATTCGACCAGGTGATGACCACCTTTATGTCGCGAGGTGGCCGCGACCCACGCAAAGGTGTGGAGAAAGGGTTCAAAGGGGTACAGGATAAACTTCTGGACACTGTGGGACCATTATCCAGAATTATGTACTTGGCCGACGACGCCCTAGCTAAAGCCGATCAATTTGACGCTACTATGGTGCGAGAATGGGCGCATGATGTGCGGGAATGGGCACAAAGGTGCTTTTGTTTTGTGGGTAATGCCAATGTCGCCTTATCATCCGAGCGACGTAAAGCAGCACTTCTCCGCATTGACGGGAAATTGGTGGAGTTGGGCACCAAAGAACTAGGTCCTATGGCACAGGGCAAGCTCTTTGGAGAACTTTTCCTAAAAGAGCTAAGTAGACATGTAAACGTCTACACATCCTTAAACAAGGCTCAGACATCAATGCGTAGAGTCTTCAGACAAAACCCCTCCAGGGGTGTTTTTGGACGGGCTGGCCGCCAAAGGGGCCGTGCTGCCAGCCGCTTCTGGCCATCAGGCCCCCGCTCTACGAGACCCCAACCTTTCTACCCAGAGGTGGGATACCGCCCGTACTCCTACACTCGAGGTGCAGACAGAGGTCGAGGACCACGCACCCGAGGCAGAGCTCGTTTTTCCTCAGGTAAGCAACCATTTTACTCACTTCTCACTCCCAATGCATACAGCAGGTCGCATATCTCTTTTCTTCCAGGAATGGACCTCCATCTCCACGGATGCATGGATCCTACAGACGGTACAAGGTTACGTCATAGACTTCGTAGACCAACCACGACAGACAGAACTACCACGTCCTATCCACTGCTCAAGGATAGACACCTCTCTCATCGACGACGAACTTCAAACCCTATACTCGAAAGGGGCGATCGAACCCGCCTCCGACCCTCAAGGTTTCTTCAGCAACATCTTCTTGGTAAAGAAGAAAACGGGAGACCTACGACCCGTCATAAACCTACGACAACTCAACGAATACGTCACTTACAATCACTTCAAGATGGAAGGCATACATCTTCTACG